TCTCCTACCCACTGGTTCACTCCCCAAATGCCTGCAATGGCTGGGGCTCAGCCAGGCCGAAGTCAGGAGCTGGGAACTCAATCTCGGTCATCCAGGTAGCTGGAAGCCTCCCAGCTCTGCATTAGCAAGAAGCTGGAGACAGAAGCCAGAGCCAGGACTGAACCCAAGTATGCAGATGTGGGATGTGAGCATTCTAACTGGCATATCAACAATCAGGCCAAACATCTGCTCCCATTTTTATTCATTTTTTTAAAAAAGATTTATTTATTTATTTGAGGCAGAATTGCAGACAAAGAGCAGGAGAAAGATAGAGAGGTCTTCCATCCGCTGGTTCACTCTCCAAATAGCCGCAATGGCTGGAGCTAGGCCAATCTGATGCCAGGAGCTTCTTCTGGGTCTCCCACATGGGTGCAGGAGCCCAAACACTTGGGCTATCTTTTACTGCTTTCCCAGGCCATTAACAGAGATCTTGATCAGAAGTGGAGCAGCCAGGACTTGAAGCAGTGCCCATATGGGATGCCGGGACTACAGGTGGCAGCTTTACCTGCTACACCACAGCACCGGCACCTCCATATGAATTTCAGCATGGGTTTTTGATTTCTGAAAAACATCTCACTGGGATTTTGACAGGAACTGGGCTGAACCTGTGGATCACTTTGGGTGGTACTGACACCTTTTTTTTTCTTAAATATTTATTTATTTATTTATTTGAAAGGCAGAGTTACAGAGAGGCAGAGGCAGAAAAAGAGAGAGAGAGAGAGAGAGAGAGAGAGAGAGAGAGAGAGACAGGTCTTCCATCCGCTGGATCACTCTCCAAATGGCTGCAACAGCTGGAGCTGAGCTGATCTGAAGCCATGAGCCAGGAGCTTCTTCTGGGTCTCCCACGTGGGTGCAGGGGCCCAAGAACTTGGGCCACCTTCCACTGCTTTCCCAGGCTATAGCAGAGAGCGGGACCGGAATGGAGCAGCCAGGACTTGAACAGGCGGCCATATGGGACACTGGCACTGCAGGTGGCGGCCTTACTTGCTATGCCACAGCGCCGGCCCCAGCACTGACATCTTAATGGTAAGTTTCCAGTTCATGGACAGGGATGTCTTTCCATTCATTTATGTCTTATTTCTTTTTGTTTTAATTAGTTAATTAGAGAGACAGACACAGATACCTGTACAGAGAGCTCCTGTCTGTTGGTTCAGTTTCCAAATGCACAAATTGGCCTGGCGTTGTGGAGGAGAGGAAGTCAAAGTCAAGAACTCAATCCAGGCCCCTGACATGGGTGGGAGGACAGCTGCTACCTGAGCCATCACCGCTGTCTCCCACGACGCTGCCTCCCAATGTCTGCATTAGCAGGAAGCTGGATCGGCAGCCAGAGCCAGGAAGCCAGCCAAGACACTGCGATGTGCAGCACAGGTACCCTAACTGCATCTTAATTTCTAGGCCAAATGCCCACCCCTTCTTCAATTTCTTAGCAATGTTCTGTAGTTTTCAGAGTAGAAGTGAAAAGTGAGTTGTAAAGCAAGCTGTGTTACTCTTCGACTCTAACCTTACTGTGCAGAGACCAGACTAGGATTTCCTTTAGCTCTAAGCTTACATGATTCTCCAGGAGTTTATCTAGTCTTGAAGCTAACTTAATCTTAGTAACTCTTGACTAGATTAGCACTACAAATTCAATGAAACAAACATTCACTGAAACCCCATGATGTCCTTGGCTCTGCTAGAATATGGCCACATTTCTCTCTTAACCCCTTTCCAATTTCCACGTGGAAAACAAATCACTTTCCTCACTGGAGCTTACTTCTGGGTTGGGGGCTGGATCAGCACCCCCACAAACTGATTTAGTCTGGAAACCAATTCATTCACTTAATTTCCAAAGGCCATTTGCTCTGCTTACGTGGTATTTTCTGTTCTTTCAATGCAGAGGGTAGAACCAACTTTCAGTACAAAGACATGAACAGTGCATGACTACACAGATCACAAAAACATCTGGGCCAGCACACCTGGGATCCTAACTTCAGACGCCTTCTCCCTGCACTGCCCAGCCTCGCTCTGCTCACACTGTGTCCTGATCACAGCACACACCACTGATCCTGAACAACCTTCACTCCGCATCGGTCACTGACTTTCAACAGGTGTTACTCTGCCTGCACCAGGAACTCGATCAGATGCTGAGCGTCACTGATCCAAAGAGGGCTGGAGAGCGAGGGGGGATGTCTTAACACACTCCAACCATCACCATTGGAAAGAGCAGTTTGAATCGAAGGTCCCAAGGTGAGCAGCAGGAAGAGTTGTACAGAGAAACAGCTGTGTATATTGGCCAAGGAGTGCACTGTGAAATGCACGCTGAAGTCTTCAGAAAGCCAGTCCTAGTCAGAATACCATTCGGCACCAATATTCACCGAGTCTCCTCGATCTAGTCACAGACCTAGAGCAGAAAGAACAGCCCCGTTTCTCACCTTATAAAATCTCATGCAAACTCTGCATGTTCAAATCAGCAGCAAGTCTAATTTATCCTGAAGAAGGGGAAACGGGTTAGAAAGGACAAGCAAGCAAACGCAACGGCACTGGGACAGACCCAAATCCGTGAAAGCAAAGGCCCTGTGGACCCTGCAGTCCTCCGGGCGGGGGCCAGCTCCTTGCGGAGGAAACAGAAAGGAAAGACCAGCCTTTCTCTCAGTTTACCCTTCTGTGGCATGCTATTTTTAAAGAAAATGTAGAGCCCAAACCCAGCAATCTAAGGTGAAGATTTACTTTAAATAACAATGGCACTTGTGAAAGCCTGTTCCAACAATGAGATTACAAAGACAGCAAACCTTCTTTATCCATGTCTTGCACATTGGTGGATGACCGAAAAACGGGTGACGCTGGGAGAAATTAAAGAAAAATAAGGCACCAGTAACAACAAATAAGGCTAACTGATAATATGAAAATTAAGAGCTCTTAGACATCTTGAATCATCTTCCCACTTTTCTTAGACTTTTTCTAAATTATGACTGAACTTGAGAAGGGAAATAGCATTTGTGAATGAAAACAACCCTGGAAGAATAAAATCTGGGCCTGGGGTCCCTCTTCCCTTGCCCCAGGCCCCAGGTCAGGGACCCTTAGAGAGAAGAAAGCTCCCCTGCCTGACAGTGGACAGAGGACCACACAGTCAGTCCTGCCTGACAGTGGACAGGGGCGGTGCTTTGCGGGAAGACCACACAGTCAGTCCTGCCTGACAGTGGACGGAGGACCACACAGTCAGTCCCCAGTCTAACCTCTGCCATTCAGACCTGCTCTCTACTCCCTGAAACCCCACAAGCCCCCAGTTCAGCTCTTTGGCTCATTCTGTTGCCTCTGGCTGAAATTCCTTTCCCTTCCCTGATAAAATGTTACCCAAAGCTCACAGCTCTTCTCCAATGCCATATCCCCGTGAGATTTTTTTTTTTTTTTTTTTGACAGGCAGAGTGGACAGTGAGAGACAGACAGAGAAAAAGGTCTTCCTTTTCCATTGGTTCACCCTCCAATGGCCGCCGCGGCCGGCACACTGCGCTGATCTGAAGCCAGGAGCCAGGTGCTTCTCCTGGTCTCCCATGCAGGTGCAGGGCCCTAGCACTTGGGCCATCCTCCACTGCACTCCCCGGCCACAGCAGAGAGCTGGACTGGAAGAGGGGCAACCGGGACAGAATCTGGCGCCCTGACCAGGACTAGAACCCGGGGTGCCGGCGCCGCAAGGCGGAGGATTAGCCTAGTGAGCTGCGACGCCGCCCCTCTGTGAGATCTTTATTGCGGCTGGCTGTGGTCCTCTCTTGAGACCTCTCAGTACACCTCCCAATGTTTCTAAAGGGACTAAGAGTCCATCTCGTACCATAATTACCTCAGGATGGTGAACCCGGTGACGCAGGAGCTGTGTTCCTCATGCTCTGCCCCGAGGCCACCCGTGATCCGTGCCTTTACACACTGCGCACACTCAGGTGCACGCACCACTTCCACTTGCACGGGTTCTGCACCCATGGATTCAACTAACTGCCAGTAGAAAATATCGGGGGAAAACCTACGTGTACTGAACACGTACAGACGTTCTTCTTGCTGTGTTCCCTAACCAGCAACCACTGACACAGCATTTACATTGTATTCGGTATCATAAATAACCCGGAGATGATTTACCGAATATGGGGAGAAGCGCATGGGTTACATGCAAATACTACAGCACTGTACGTAAGGGACTTGCGCATCCAGATTTTGGTACCTGAGGAGGTCCTGGAACCAACTCCCTACAGATACTGGGGAACCACTGCATGGACCGAGTCACACTGCATCAAGTTCTACTCCAACATAGTCACTGGAAGGCAAATACTTATGAAAGTGTACACAGAAAACTAAAGGGCCAGTACCATTATTTTGAGAAAAAGTCTCAGAACAGGAAAAGCATGTGCAGTGGCAGAAACATTACTCTGGTAGGACTCAGACCTACAGACCTTTGTGAGGTCCTGATGGAAAACGCATAGCCCCAACACACACACACACACACACACACACACACACGGAACCCCTGCCCCCTTTCCAGGTAAATAGTGAACTAAAAGAAAGTAACCTTTAAAGAACAAATGCTTTTTCTTCAGCCAGACTGTGGAAAAGTAACACGAGAAATGCCAGGGCTGAGAGGCCGTGTGCACTCAGCTCCAGAGACAGCTGAATACCTTCTTTCATGAACCCACTGCCAGCTAACAGGAAGCCAGACTAAACCTCTCCAGTTTTTCTTGAACCACAGACTCCAAAAATGAATGAATGAACGAACAAATGGATTTATTAAGACTCGATTCAGGGTTCAATAAAAGTACTTTACAGACCATTTGGGAAGGACCGATTTTCCACTATTTCCTGCTGCAGACTGAGACTCTTTAAAAGCACAATTAAAATGCCTACAGGGTGACACCACTTAACTTGTCATGGGCCAGGGCAATCATGTCCCAAACCCACATACAATCAATGACTAGAAAGGCAGGGAGAGGCAGGTGCATGCCTACCTTCTGCTCCTGGACTTCAAACACTGCTTCGTGGACACTGCAGGCAAACAGCGAGGTAGGCAGATCGCTTAAATCCATCATCTCCTCCAAATCGTCTTCATTTTCCCCAAAAACCATCTCCTCTTCCTCCTCCTGGTCGCTGCTACAGAGGTCTGACTGGCTGTCATTCCAGGACTTCCCAGTGTCCCTCAGCATCATCCTTGACTTTCTGGTTTTAAAGTCCCAGGACGTCTATTGTTAAAAAAAGGCAACACAGAGATAAAGCTCTGAAAGCCAAACAACATTCCAATCATCAACTTCTCAAGACAGTGGTTCATCGAATGAAGCATTTTTATCCAGTAAAGATAAAGCAGCATTTAAATCAACTCATTACGGCCCTGATGAATGAATTCCATACAAATGTATTTGCTTAGCATATTGCACAGGGCAGTGGTATGTAAGAAAAGCGGCAGTTTTCTGGAGAAACGGGGGAAAAGGAGAAACTAAAGTGAGACCATGTCAGCGTGTGCGCTCGTTCTTGAGCAGAAACAAGAGCAATGCGCAGCAGAACCGCCTCTGCACGTTTGTTTTGGGTTTCAGACCCACAACACTGACGCTGCCACAGCAGAATGAAACCCACGCTGACTCGCTCGCCATCTGCACCCTGAAACACCGTCTGTAGTAAGCTCGCTTTACTTTTCCTAACTGATTTGTTCTTTCTGAATATACTCTCAAAGACTTACATTACACAAAGCCAAAAGATCTCTATAAAGTCAGACTTTGTTAATATTAGAAATGTTTTTTAAAGATTTTATTTGAAAAGCAGGATTGCAGACACAAAAGACAGAGACAGAGAGAGAAAGAGAATACCTTCCATCTGCTGGTTCACTCCCCAAAGGGCTGCAACGCCCAGGCCAAAGTCAGGAGCCCAAGGAGCTCCATCCAGGTCTCCCGCGTGGACAGCAGAGGCCCGAGCACGTGGGCCATCACCTGCTGCTTCCCAGGCCCATTAGCAGGGAGCTGGATGGGAAGCCAAGCAGCTGGGACATGAGTGGGTGAGTGCTCATGTGGGACACCAGCATCAAGGGCAGCTTAATGCACTGTACTGTAACACCAGCCCCAATATTAGAGATATTTATAGCAGGCAAAATTTAACACAGGAAACAATCAAAAACATGTCCTTTTTCAGAACTCAAAAAAATATCACGGGGCAGGCACTGTGGCGTACTGGGTAAAGCTGTCACCTGCAGTGCTGGCATCCCATATGGGCGCCACTTCAAATCCAGGCTGTTCACTTCTGATTCAGCTCTCTGCTAATGCACCTGAGAAAGCAACAGAGGATGGCCCAAGTCCTTGGGCCCCTGCACCCACCTGGAAGACCTGGAAGAAGCTCCAGGCTCCTCCTGACTTCAAATCAGCCCAGCTCTGGCCGCTGCAGGCATTTGGGGAGTGAACCAGTGGACGGAAGACCTCTTTCTCTCTCTCTCTGCCTCTGCTTCTCTGTAATGCTGGCTTTCAAATAAATGAATAATAAATCTTTCTAAAAAATCACTAATTTAAAATCAAAGGCCTGGGTCTAACACTTCCCCATTAAATAATGAAACGGAACCTGCCTTTCCATGCTGTCTTCTCCAACAACCTGCACAGCACACCAACCCAGGATGGCCTGGGCACAAGAGGCCAACGTGGGATTTAAGAAAAACCTACCAAGCCCAGAAAATTGAATGACTGTGATTATTACTACTTTGATATTACCTAATAATTTGCAATTTTTTTCCATTTCAGAGAATCCAAGGCCACAAATATATTGCTTATACAGAGTACATTATAGAATGGTAATTACATTATCCTACTACATCAAGACTGATTTTCTTTCTTTTTTTTTTTTTTTAGATTTTATTTTTATTTATTTGAAAGAAAGAGTTACAGATAGGTAGAGACAGGGAGAGGTCTTCCATCCACTGGTTCACTCCCCAATGGCCGCAATGGCCGAAGCTGTGCTGATCCAAAGCCAGGAGCCAGGAGCTTCCTCTGGGTCTCCCACGTGGGTACAGGGGCCCAACGACTTGGGCCATCTTCTACTGCTTTCCCAGGCCACAGCAGAGAGCTGAATTGGAAGTGGAGCAGCTGGGACTAGAACCAGCGCCCATATGGGATGCTGGCGCTTCAGTCCAGTGCTTTAACCTGCTGCGCCATAGTGCTGGCCCCAAGACTGATTTTCTAAAAAGGAAAATCCTTACTCGTTTTTATGAACATTTTCCGCATGCTGATGGCTTGGCATGGCGGGTACTAGATGCACAAGGCATGGTTCCCACAGTGAGGAGCTCCTGCCTGAGCGAGGGTTTCTCCTCAGCAGAGCTGGCCCCAGTCCCGAGGAGGCTGTCTGCTGTGCATTCAGTTCTCCTCCACCCATTCCTCTTCCTCAGCAAACCTAAGTCTCGAGAGCCTCACCATTCGGATTTTCCCACCCTCAATCTCCCTCTGACCCTCCTTCACATCGCCTTCCAGCTTCCTGGCCAGAGGAAGCCACAGTTGGTGCACTCTCTTCCTCAACTCCTGTCATCTCTGAACTCAAAGAGTTGGCTTCCACCGCCACCTGCCAACTGCCACTGCCCTCAATGTGGACAGCAATGGCTTCCTACTAGTTGGAATCAATGTCAGGTCCCAGCCTCTCTCTGCAGCTCACACTGGGACCTCTCTGAGCTCCTGCCAAGGGTCTTGGTCCTTCCCGGCTCCTCTTTCCCCACTGGAGAACAATGGAGTCTCTGGGGTTTCATCTCCATCCTCTCTCCCTCACCTTACTCTTCCCGGTGGTTTTATCCCCACTGGAGCATTTAACTACTCCTACACCTACGACTCTCTACCACGTGGTTCCCACGCACATGGGTATGTCTACACTGTCTCCGGCTTCACACGATGATTCTTAAGTGGAGAAGGATGTCACCAAAGCAGAAGTGGAAGCAGAACAGAATCTCGGGTGATCTGGGAAGAGCACCAAGCCCCAGGAGCCTCTAATCTGCCCTCTAACCTGCCTGCACACGCTGGAAACTGGAGAGCTATGGACGCTGTCAAACACAGACACCTACATCTCGACATGCATTTCTACCTTTCTGTCAAACATATCCATTTGGCTAGCCCACAGGTACTACAACTTTTTTTTTTTTTTAGGTTTATTTTGTTTATTTGAAAGGCAGAGTTACACAGAGAGAGGTAGAGACAGAGAAAAAGGTCTTCCATTCACTGGCTCACTACCCAAAAGGCCACATCAGCTGGAGCAGAGCCGATACAAAGCCAGGAGTCTGGAGCTCCTTCTGGGTCTCCCACATGGGTGCAGGAGCCCAAGCACTTGGGCCATCCTCCACTGCTTTCCCAGGCTCATTAGCAAGAAGCTGGATGGGAAGTGGAGGAGCTGGGGCTTGCACTGGCGCCCATACGGGATGACAGCACTGCAGGCCAGGGCTTTAACACACTGGCCCCATTACAACTGGTTTATTGGATTATTGTGCCAGAATCTCCAACCTGGAAAGGGGTCCTTTTGAGGGTTGGTGAGAATGGCTATCTCGTGGTGGCTCCCAGGATAACCATTTCTCAAGACCAAGCTCTGAGTTTGGAGCTCTCACAGCACTTTGATCATCTGTTTTCTACTTAGGATGTATTTGTTTATAGATCGCTCCTAGCTACCAGGCTGCGGATGCCTTTGAATCCGTAGGCCCTGGAAAGTCTCCAGGCCACAGTTTAATAAGGACTGCTGAGCAGCAGCAGGCTGCATCGTGATTATGCCACTGACACGCAGGCATGGGCAAATTCTGCGTGGGCTTACGGACAGGATCCCCAAGGGGGTTATGGTGAGACTTCAGCGATGAGCAGCTGCAGCAGGAAAACCAGGAAGTCAAGAGGACCAGGGCAAAGGGGCCCCAGCGCTGTGTGTGTGTGTGTGTGTGTGTGTGGCCTGAAGCCAGGAGGTAGGCGTGGCCCGCAGGTGCAGGTAGGGTGACAGAGCCCTGCCATGGAAACCAGTCAAAGTCAGGGTGCCACTGAAGGTTTTTTCAGTCAGGGAAAGGATACAACCAACCCGATTTAACTTCCAGTAACCCTAAGAGTTGGCTGTCTTCGGATCGTCTCTCTTAAGGCACTGATGGTTTTATTACACCTCACAACCTATTAACAAGGTGGAAACATTGCCTGGAGTTTTAGATGTTGGCAGTTAAGCAGCTCTGACTGGTGAGCTTCTGAAGTCTGAGACAATCAATTTTTGACAAGATTTTCTGGTTTGTTTCAAGTTCCTCCCTCCAGCCTCTTAAAAAACCACACAATCTTTAACCTGACTTCAGAATTCTTAGAATATTACACCTTCATTTCCTGTTTTCTACCTTCGATTTTGGGGTATCTTTTTAACTTCAAGTAGAAGTTAAGAGAACAGCACGAGGAATGTCAGCAAGTACTCTCTACCCAGAGCTACCAACTGCTTCTACTTCGCCCATTTGCTTTTTTAGTCAATACTTGTATACACATGCGTTCTTCTGAACTACTGAGGGTGAGACAGAATATACACCCTTTCACTCTCAAATTACTTCAGGGTCTAAAAGCAAGATCACTTTTTTATATAACTCACACTACAATTATAAAAAAAAATGGGAAGTCTGGAGCCAGCACTGTAGCTTAGCAGTTAAAGCCGCTGCCTGCAGTGCCAGCATCCCATATGGGTGCTGGCTGCTCCACTTCTGATCCAGCTCTCCGCTGTGGCCTGGGAAAGCAGTAGAAGATGGTCCAAATCCTTGGGCCCCTGCACCCACAAAGGAGACCTGGAAGAAGCTCCTGACTCCTGCCTTCGGGTGGGCCCATCTCTGGCCATTTGGGGAGTGACCCAGCAGATGGAAGCCTTCTCTCTCTTTCTCTCTCTCTCTGCATCTCTGCAACTCTGCCTTTCAAATAAGTAAAGAAATACTTAACAAAAGGGAAGTTTAATACTGATATAATATTATTACCTGATATGTGGTCTATATTCAAATCGTCAGTTATCCCAATAATGTCCTATATATAAGCTAGCTTCTTCAAATTCTTTAGATTATTGTTAAATTATTTATCTTTTGTCTAAAAATATTTTAGTAGTCTTTCTGGATTAGAGTACTGCTACATTATCTTCTCTTACAAGTTTTTATATATTTGACATGCTTAAAAAGGACAGAGTGCTAAAATACCACGGCAACTGCAAACAAGTCTGAACAGTTTATAAGTACACCCAGAAAGATCCAAGCTCTGTAATCAGACTTTAGACTTGAACTCTGTCATGCTCTGTGATATGTACATGACTCTGCCTGTTTGTTGCCTCAATTATAAAATGGCGATAAAAATAATCCTTACCTACTAAGGTGTTAAGAGCATTAAGTGAGAATAAATGCTCAATGCTGAGAATAATGTTTGCCTATAGCTCAATAATTATTATTTTGCTTAGGCATGGTCTGTGTCAGTCAATGCACTGTTGGGTTGAAAGGATCCCAGTACTACCAGAACCACTGTTGGAACTGAGATTAAAACAATAAAATGAGAAACACACATCACCCCAAATGATCTAATTCTAAGCAATAAAAATAAAAGCTCGTTCCATCATTCCAACAAAACTACTCAGCAGCAGAGCTATCTGGAGCAACGCGGCTCCAGGATGGAGACGTCTGGATTTAGGAGGAGAGCTGGGAAAGGGCTCTGGCGCCTTCTCAGGGGCTGCACAGAACTTCACGTCACGACGAGATGTACACAGATGACACGTCTCTTCCAACTACAACCCATGAGATTTTTCATGAGTTTAAGTCAATGTTATCAACCGTTTCATAATTCTCTGACATCATCAACACAGTTAAATTTAAACGCAAAGAGATAGGCAAGGGGATCCTATTGGGTAACTCAGCTGTAAATTAAAGTGAAACCTTCACCAGGACAAAGGAGAGACCGACAGAGCAGATGGATTCTGTGCTGTTCTCACTGGAGGCCTTGCTAACTCTGCTCTCAGTCTGCTGCCCTGGGAAACCCCGACAGGCCCCGCACGAAGGGCAGGACCAACACCGCCAGCTTCCGCAAGCACAGGTCCGTGCTCACCAGGGTTTCGCATCATCTCCAGCGCGACGGTCGCTGTGGCTGGCTTCTGGCAAAGTCTTTCCTGATGGAAACATCAAACGAGTGGGAAAGCCCCAGCCGCGGACCATCTGCTCTGCTGTAACAAGCCTCGTGACAAAAGCAATCCATCAAGGCCCAACGTCACGCCACCCAAGAGGGCTTCGTTTTCAGGTCTGATGAGGAAAAGGTGACTCCTTCTCCTCTAGGATTTAAAGACATAATTTTCCAAAATAATATGCTTCTCATTTGGTGAGTGTTTTGGCACCTCAGCGAGGTGCACGTTCTAATTTTCGGCTGTGCTCAAAGTGCCAGCGAACAGCACTGGGTGCAGACAAGCCCTGCACGTCAGCTCCACAGGTGCCCCGCCGACAGCCTGGGACGTCACCTGGCCTCTCGGTGTTCATCCTCGCACGTCTGTGGGAAACAAGACTCGCAGCTGCCCTGAATGACCACATTGCTTTTCAGAGCTTCTAAACCGTAATTCTAGACTCGTTTCAGAAACCCCACTCAGGACGGTGCACGTGCTGGCTCTGAGGGTCCACCACGAAGCCCCACCTTCCAGCCACTCATGCGCTGCCTGCAGCTAGAATTCTGCCATGCTTCAGAAGCTGGTGTGCCAAACATGGTGCAACAGGAAAGCGAAGGAGGTGAAAACTGGATTTTTCCAGTTTCAATAACCTGTGCCTTAGGAAACCCAGAACTGCTCTTGTTATCATTACGGAGGTTCCTGCTCCACCAGGAACAGCATCCCTTAGCATGAGAGAAAGAACAGGGAAACAAAACCCAGCTGGGGGACACAGGAGCGGCACAGGCCGCTGGGGCTGGCGCCGGGATGTGAGAGCGCCAGGCTGTGTTTTGCAGTCCGTAATCCACTCCCTTTCCCCAGCACCTCCACAATCCCGGTGTCTGACCGCCACCTCTTCTGTGTTTCTCTTGCTGTTTTGGGGTCTCCAGAACAAATGGTCTTGAACTTTAGGGCCTGCCTTATTTCACAGGCTCAGCAGGTTGCCACTGGGATTACTTTTCCTGATATTTTGCTTAGTTCTTCCGACCAACAACTCGAACACCATGCAGGATTGCTTCTCATTTGTTACCCTAGTGTTCACCGGTTCCAAAGCTTTCCATTTCAACAGCAGGTTAAAAACAAAAAACAAACAAAAAAACTCATTTCCCCCTAAAAATACTGGGAGCTCTTCCCGAGCTAAGAAAGCAGTAAAATGTCAAGCCCACGACAAGGCTCACGCTTCTGTCTTTGGGCATAGAAAGCCCATGTCAGGGCCCAACACAAAAATCTCCACCTAAAAAGAGCGAGGTTGTGCGTGCCGCACGGCCGTCTGGGTCCTGAGCACGGTGTTCGGTTTCCTCACCAAAGCTACCGAAACGGTCTTAAGATAGTTTAAGTCGGATGGAATCAGAGCCACAGGTCCATCTGCTGCTTCTCGGGGCTTCTATGAAAAGTTGGGGTGCACCTGGCGGCCCTGGTAGCTTACAGTGAGGGGGAGCGCGCCCCCTTGGCTGCGGGCACCGCACTAAAAGGCTGCGTTGCACCGTCCCGGTTTGCATCCGAAACGCAATCCTAACTGCTCCAACAGAGATGCTTGGATCCCGCACGGAACCTGGGACCCAGCAAGCTCCGGGCCCGGCCCGCGGCGGCGGCACCTGAGCAGGTGGCGGCGGGAGCGGGGCGGGGAGCGGCGCGGGGGTCTTCACCCTCCGCCCGCGGCCCGCCTTCAGCGAGGGCTGGGCCTGCGGGGTCGCAGAATGCGGCGTCGGGACGAACCCCGCAGCTGAGGGAGGGAAAAGACGTTCTGCCCCCTCTTTGTTTTCCGGGACGCCACCCCCGAGGCTGCCGGAAGGGAGACGGCGCGCGGGCGAGCCCGCGGGGGGCCCTCAGCAGGGTCGCCGCGGCCCCACCCCGCGGGGTCCCTGCTCACTCGTTTCCTTCCTTATTTATTCTTTAACTTTGCGCCCGAAGCCGGCTGTAAACGCGCTCCGAGAGGCCGGGCGTCAGCCCCACCCGGGCGGGAGACTCACCTGAAGCGCCTGGCCGCCGGGGCGCTGGGAGGAAGCAGCGGCCCGACGGGGGCCGACGGGGACCGGGCGGAGGGCAGAGCCGCGAGCCGCCGGCCGCCCCCAGCTTCGGCGCCGCGCCCTCGACGCCGCCCGCAGCAGCCGCCTCAGCGCGGACACGAGCGGCGTCCGGGGCCGAGCCGGGCTGCAGGCGTCGCGCGCGCTCCCGGCCCGCGCGCGCCCCCGCTCGCCCCGCCCGCCACCCCGGCGGAGCGCGCGCGGCGCAGGCGCCGGGGACCAGGGCGCCGGGCCGGGGGAGGGGCCGGAGGAGGGGGCGGGGGCGGGGTCTGGCCGCGCGCGCTCCGCCGGCTGCTCAGGGGGTCTCGCTCCCCACGCGTGGCGGGTGGGGCCTTAGGTGGCCGCGCCGTTTTCCCCTGTCCCCAGAAATAGTTGATCTCTCTTTTTTGCATGGCAGTCACAGAAATGGTTAATGGGGATGCCGTGAACGTCGCCTCAGGGCCAGTGCCTTCGGGAGCTTTACCTCAGTTCCCCTCGCAGTGACCCGCGTGCCGGATATCACTGTCCCCGCTTCGTAGATGAGGAGCGGCACCCGGGCCCAGGGGCCCGAGCCGGGAGGCAGCACAGGTGCACCTGCTGGGGATGCCGCCCTGCCACTCCTCCCAGCTGCTCCCTTATGTAAATATTAATATTTGTTTCAATGCTTTCTCTTTGATTTATACAACACTTTCGTGCCGTCTTGCTTGATAGCCTTAGAAGCCCTAGGAAACTGTCATTCGCTATAGGGTGAGCTGTGCCAAGTTAAGGGGGTAGGGCTTGGCTCACCCAGGCAGGTATTATTATTACTGCTGCAATAAAGCGCCGGAGCCCAGCTTTGTAGGGGGCTGGTGTATCTTCCCTTGGCTCAAGGAGAGGGAAACAGGAACGTGGCAGGAAAGATTGTTGGGGCACGTGGTGGTCTACCCGGTAAAGCCACCGCCTGCCTGCAGAGCAGGGCATCACATAGAGCCACGGGTTCAAGTCCTGAGGCGCCACTCCCAATCCAGCTCTGTGCTAATGTGCCTGGAAAAGCAGTAGAAGATGGCCCAAGTGCTTGGGTCCCTACGTGGTCATTGCAGCCATTTGGGGAGTGAACCAGCAGCTGAAAGATTTCGCTCTTCCTCTCTCTTTGTAACTCTGCCTTCCAAATACATAAAAAATAAATCTTAACAACAACAACAACAAAAGGAGCAGCAAAAGCCGGAGGATTGTGCCTATGGTTTTTTTAAATTACAATAATGCAGACCAGAGATGACTTTAAGTTGGACAGGGTCATGAAGGTGGAAGTGTTGAGAAATAGTAGGATTTTTAAAAAAGATTTATTTATTTATTTGAAAGAGTTACAGAGAGGCAGAGGCAGAGAGATAGAGAGAGAAAAAGAGGTCTTCCATCCACTGGTTCACTCCCCAGATGGCCACAACTGCCGGAGCTGGGCTGATCTGAAGCTGGGAGCCAGGAGCTTCTTCCAGGCCTCCCACGTGGGTGCAGGGGCCCAAGGACTTGGGTCATCTTCTACTGCTTTCCCAGGCCATAGCAGAGAGCTGGATCAGAAGTGGAGCAGCCAGGACTCGAACTGGCGCCCATATGGGATGCCGGCACTGCAGGCAGCAGCTTTACCTGCTATGCCACAGTGCTGGCTCCAATAAGTAAGATTTTGTCTGTATTTCAAAGGCAAACTATGAGCAATAGATGAGAGTAGAGGGTGTGAGCTCAGACCAGGTGTAGAGATTACGGAGGGAGACATGGTGGCTAGTTGAAATCCTGAGCTGGAATGAGATACTCCAGAAGAGTGCGTGGACTAGAACACAAGGGGGCCAAGGGCAGAATCCAGAACCACACCCATCCTTGCGTGGCAGGCAGGGGAAGAGCTGCCATCTGGCAGCCATCAAATAGATGGCGAGCAGCTCGAGAGCAAGAGTGGAATCTTCGGCATCTCTTCCTCCCTGTTCTGTCCAGCCAGTTGCTGGGCACAATGAATGAGTGTGTAACTCATTCATAACACGTGCTTGTCATGAATGAACTTGACATGGTGTCCCATTTCCAGTGCTCTTTCCCTTTCCTTATCACTGTGGGGTTTGAGTTACAGAGAAAGAAACGGATCTCTTGCAGCTCGCTCCGTTGAAACCAGTGCCGAGTTTGATAAGGACAGTGGTGTCCTGGAAAACTCAGTAGAACGGGTCAGATGCTGCTGCACACCACCAGGAGCACCTCTCTTCTCTCCCAGGAGAATTTCCAGACGTGCAGTTTCATTTCAGATTTTCTTACTTGAGTAGAGTTCACAGTCGCTACTCTGAAAAGTCCTTGTTGGGTTTGTTAGGGCTGTGCTACGAGGTCAAAGATCCCCATCTCGCACTCACATATTGCTCCTGGGAGGGAAAAGGGTGCAGCTGTTTTTGGAAACCCTTTGCCACTTTATCAAGCTAAAGGGATCCTATGACCCAGAAATTCGACTCCAAGAGAAACCTAGGCCAATGGCGCCAAAAATGACACAGCAGGCATGGCGGGGAGTTTAAGAATGCTCTCAACATCTTTGTTCTTAGTATCCCCAAACTGGAAACATCTCCATTGTTGACAAGGGAAGGATGGATAAAATGCTGGACTATTCAAGCAATGAAATACTACACAGAAACAAAGAAGAACAAAGTATGGCTACACACCATGACAGAAAAAGATCTTCAAGGATTTTCACTGAGCTAAACCAACCAGTCAACAGCAATGTGAAAGTGTGACTCCATCTGTATGAGGTTCAGGAAGAGCTGAGGCTACTCTCTGGTGAGAGCCAGATCAGTGGCTGTTTCCGGGGGTGGAGATTGACTGGAAAGGGACACAAGGGGACACTGGAGAGTTCTAGAAAATTCTCTCCCTGCTAGTGTGCAAGTCTACATTCAACACATATTTATTGGATGTCTCCTATTCACCAAACATTGCTCTAGGCATGGGAAACAGAGCAGTGCACAAAGCAGATCAAGTAGCTCCTTTGCAGACTTTTCCTCGGCTCCTTTCATTGACTGCATAGCATCAATGCACTTGACATAGCAAACCGAGGCTCGTCTTTAAATACAGCTGATGACAAGTCTAAAGAACTTTCTTCCCACTTGGTGTTTGAGTTGTTTGTAGGAAGACAGCAAAATACAGAGGGAAGGGCTTGGGCTTTAGGGGTCATGGTTGTGCGATCTTTGAGCAAGTTCTGTAAGCCACCAAAGCTGCATTCCCATCTGTTAAATGGGACAGATGAAGCCTGCCTTGCAGAGTTGTCTGATAAAGTGCCAGGCACGTTACAGAAGCTCAGTAAACATGAGTTGCCTGGCAGTCATTTCAAAGTGAGATTTTATTTTTACGCAGTTGGGAGGGAGCTGATTTGCTGGCAGAGGTGCCCTTTGCCCCTTTTTTTCTAGCCTGTAATGCGAATGATGTTTCACGACAGATTTTATTTACGGTGATCCGTATGATAGAGCTTAGGTGTGCAGTCGGTTATACCGGCCAAGTGTGTGCAGGAGCACGCTACGGCGTGCACATGACAAGGCAATCACCTGGGGGTGAATCCTCAGAACATAGCCCCCTCGTTACCTATGCCTTACAGTATTTCCTGTCAGTAGTTTCCACGAGATTAGGGATGTCACTGGGACGGCTCCATTTGCATCTCCCATCCATTTTGCTTTACTTTATGTCGCAAGCACTTCCATGTGTTTCAAGCACAATTTAAAAAGATGTTTCTCAATGGCTACATCACACTGCTCTGCGTGTTCTCTTATTTGTCTGACCACTCCTTTTTTGTGGGAATCAAGGTTTCCTTCAAATTTCCTCTTCTATAATTAACCATGTAACGAATGTCTTTATCCACAAATATGTCGTTGCATGTTTGATTACTTCCTTAGCATAGATTCCCAGAAGGTGTTCTTAGCAAAAAGGACATGAACATCTTAAAAACTTTTATAAGAAAATAATAAAATGCATTTCAGAGAGGCTGTACAAACCGCATCCTCAGTCTACATCTCAGCACAGCCCAAGTCATGTTCAGGACGGCTTTCAGTCTGAAGGGCTTTTCCCGCTTCACGGGGGAGATGCATCTTGATCGCTGGGTGGACGAACGTTTCCCCCGTGTATTTCTTTGAGAACAGCCCAAGTTCTCTGTCTATTCTTCTATTGCACTGTTAGCATCGTTTAATTGATTCTAAAGCAACCTATACTTTGCAGACAAAAACACTGTGATTATATTGTTGAAAAATCTCTGTGACTTTCCTTTTGCAGTCTTTTCTTTTTTTTTTTGATCCACAGACATTTACAATTTTGCGTTTGTAAATAAATGTATTGATATTTTATGATCTCTTTGCTTGCTGACTCTAATTAATGACAACTTTGCTTTTCTTTTTTGATGATTTCTATTTTTTACATTTGCTCAATTCACTTGAGATTGATTTAGCATGGAAACATGAGGTAAGACTCAAACTTAAATTATCTTTCCAGTGGTTCTAATGTTAATTAGTAAAGAATCTGTTTTACCCACTGGTTGATATATATACAATTTGGTATATGTAAAAACAGTGATATATATTTCTAGATTGATTGCTCCATTTCATGGATCTAACTGTGAATAGAAACTGCTGAGTGAAATAAGCCAGTCCCAAAGGGACAAACATATGTTCTCCCTGATCAGTGACAACAAACTGAGCACCTAGAAGGAAACCTGTTGAAGTGAAATGGACACTATGAGAAACAGTGTCTTGATCAGCCCTTGTCCTGACTGTCGAGGAATAACTTACTATTTTATTCCTTTTAGTATTTTTTGTTCTACTTAATACCATTGGTTGAACTCTTTAATTAACACACAATTATTCTTAGTCATTTAAATTTAACTGAAAAGTGATGCCAGTTAAATATAAGAGTGGGAATAAGAGAAGGAAGAGATGTACAGTTTGACACATGCTCTCTCGGACTTACCCCAATGGTAGAGCTAGAAACGTGCCAGGGGATTCCAATTCAATCCCATCAAGATGGCATGTACCAATGCCATCTTACTTGTTAAAGTTGTCGCTCCCCCTCTTCGTGGAGGAACGACACTAAACCCTGCCTAGGCTTCATATCCGAGTCACGGCACCATTATGTCGTCCCCCTCTTCGTGGAGGAACGACACAGGACCCTGCGCTGTTCTTTCGTCTGCTCGGCCCTC